AAGGGGAAGGCAGATTCACTTAACAACCTTTTTACTAACTTAACTGTAATGTTTCACTTAAGAACAGCAACAAAGGTCGTAAAACGGGACAAAACTTACTTAACAAATGTCTTACTTAACAACAGAAATTTTGGGCTCAATTGTGGTCATAAGTCTACCTGTATTTCATTTGTTGTAATCGTTATATAAGTGCATATATTTATTCAGACGGAAAAATACTTCTTAAATGAAATACTTTCACTTAAGAAATGAAAATGTTATTTAGACACACCTTCTGAGCAAAAAAACCAAGCAAACCTGGGAGCTAGAAATAAGTCTCCAAGGTCTCCTTGATTTAGGATTTGCAGCTAACACTAAAAAGTTCACAAGCCAAGAGAAAAAGATCTCTAAAGTGATCTTTATGTGCAAGGTTCAATTGACAGTCATAGACTAGTCTTTTCTACCAGCTGACTTCATGTAGAATAGCAGGCCCCATATAAGAACTCTATTTAGACAAATGTTTTAGAAATAACAACAAAGGATAGACTAAAGGTTTTTATGTGCTTGATTTACATTAGTAAATTCTAGTACTTTTGAAAATTAAAATGTAATCCTGCACAGTTCTTCCATACCACTGTATTATAGACACTGGTATAAAAAATAATTCTAGATGTATGACCTCCTCCTCCTTTCCAGCCAACTTTATTCCAGTTTTCTTTCCTCTGGATATTGTTCCTCTCCTTTCCATGCCCTTCATATGCCCTAATTTCCTCTAGTAGTGATTTCTAAACTAATATTAGCTTATTCTTTAAAAAAAAAAAAGATGCAAGTTCCTAGGCTCTGAAGCGTAATAATAATGTATTTACTAATAAGCATTTTTTCTATAGCTTGGTTACAATATGTAAGAAACAATTATTTCTTTTTACATAGCACAGAGATGAATGACTTGCAGCCTTAAGCTGTATGCAGCCCTTGAGCTCCTTTCATGTGATCTTTGGACTAATTTCAAAATCTTTATAGAAGGGAGCAGGTCAGACTTCCAGTAAAACATATCTGTCTTTTCTTTAAAGTCTGGCCTCTGGGAGAGGAAAAAAAGGACATTTATTCCCAAAAGATAGTACTACAGAAAAAGGATTCACTCCTGTTCTATGGCAAAGTATGTAAGTAAATGCAGTAAACAAGTGGTAAATATATAGGCTATTCTTTCTCACTAGGAGGATCACTTATTAAAGGAACTTGAAAGGATGGATTATTAGTCAGCTCTGCTGGACCTCTTAGTTTTCATCATCAGCTGTTTATTTTTAACTGCCTGATCAGTACAGGGCCAGCTGCATAAGTCTGTGTTGGTTTTAATTCGGAATCAATACAGGTGTCAGATCTCTTAGGTTCATTTGGCTTCATATCTTAGGACAATAATTGATGAATGATAGCAAACTGATACTTAATCCTGATAAAATATAAATGAGTTTGATCAACAGCAAACCTGATTTATTCTATTCAGAAATTATGGCTAGAGCAGAAAACTACAGGTAGGCCTCAATATGCAACAGTTCATTTAGTGACCGAAGTTACAATGGCACTAAAAAAGTGACTTATGACCATTTTTCACACTTACGACCTTTGCAGCATCTCCATGTAGTCACATGATCAAAATTTGGATGCTTGGCAACTGGTTCATATTTATGACAGTTGCAGTGTTCCGGAGCCATGTAATCACCTTTTGCAACCTTCTGACAAGCAAAGTCAATGGGAGAGCCAGAATCACTTAATTCCTATGTTACTAACTTAATGACTGCAGGGATTCACTTAACTGTAGCAAGAAAAGTTGTAAAATGAGGCAAAATTCACTTAACATCTGTCTCGCTTTAACAGAAATTTTGGGCTCAATTGTCGTCATCAGTAGGGGAGTACCTGTACTTTAGAAAGTTATTCAAACTTTCATTAAAAATGAGTTTTACAATCTTGTGGTATTTTTAAATTTTAGTTTAATTCAAAATATTAATACCGGTTGTAAAAAGTGGCATAATATAAAATTTCAAAACAGCAAATTATGTTCTTAAATCTAGATAACAGCACTATTTATTTTGCCTATAGTTAATGAACCTAACCATAGAGGTTCTCAAATTCTGAAACTGATTCCCCAAAAGATAAATGAATTTATGCAACGACTTTATGAATAAATTAATGCTTTCACTGGCTTAAGTGCTGGGCAAGAAATACTTTTAATTAAATTTCATGTTATATGTTAAATAAAACAATTACAGAATTGTACAATTTAATTTTCAAATACTTATTTTATAAACAAAAATCATATTTATGACTATAATTTGATGGGATGAATAAGCTTGCTTACTTTTGCTGAAATGTGAATTTTATTTCTTGTTCTGATCAATTTGTGACAATTGCAAAAAAACCGTGAGTCACAGAAGTAGGATGTCACAAAATTTTATCAGCACTGTCATTGGATTGATTATTACGATTGGGTAAGAAGCTTTCTGAAAGTACATTAAAATGTTTCCATTCTGAAAAGCCAAAAATTTAAAAAATTGTTTGAAATATTGAATTTCACTATTAAAAAGTCACTTAAAAGATTATGGATTACCAGCACACTAGTGGAGACTCATGACACAAACATTTCCAAGAGAAGCAATGCACAGTAACATTTGTTATCATAATTTAAATTATTTAGTTGGCAGCTTATACATTTCTTGCCTCTACTAAAAAAAATAAACTGAAAATTGATTTGTAAGCATAACAATGCCAAAAATTTCAAATTTGATTATGTCTGAAACAAATCTGTAAAAAAATTCCTACACACCACTTCCAACCCAATGTTGAACTCCTTACTTTATAGAGGAGAAAACAATTGCTAGCTTTGTTTTCCAAAACCCATAAACATAGAAAGAATTGCTATTTCCTCTTATACATTCTGTGCAGTATTTAGGAGAATAGCATCTAACAATATCTGGGAACATAATTGTTAAACTTTAGTGAAAAGTCAGTCCTGTGTTCAAGACAGCCTATCCATTTGAGCTGAGCATAGGTTTACAAATACTGTCTAAATAAAACCATAATACAAATTCAACAACTTTCCATTAAGTGATACAAACTACATTCACAGTATACTACTACAAAAAGTTATATTTTGAGGAAGCTAAATATACCACTACAAATTTTCTTAAGGGAAAATACTTATAAAAATGTTATTGGCCAGGAGTTCTATGATGCTTTCAAAAAATTCACTTCAATTAATTTACTGTATGACAAAATTTATATTGAAATGTTCTCTAACTTTACAAATCCCACTGTCAACTCAGTATCAATTGTCACATTTATTTATGGAGAGATATGGAACAAGCATTATACAAGCATATTCCCCTAGTGGCTTGACATCAAATATGTATACACATTTATCACATGAATACAAAACCAAACTTGACTTCCCAATTTAGGCCATTTTGGTTGGAAAAATAAAGCCACCAGTTTTTAATTAAAGTCCATATGCCTCTGTCTTCTATTTCTATTTCATGCAAAGATTGCCACAAACAAATTACAAAAACCAGACACAAGGCAACAAAACATCCAATCAGTACTCAAAGGAGAAACATTCTTGGAAGGATTTAAAACTAGGTCACATATGCCAGCTGTAAACGATACATTCAAAAAATCCTTTTATAAAATACTGCAACCACCATTATCAGTTGCCAACCAGAAGATATTTGCTTTAAATAATTTGTTCCTTTCATCAGTTAGACTTCGCTACAATATTTTAGCACCATAATTTACTTGTAATACTTTACACTGCCATATTACATGATACAATGCACTATGCACTAGAACCAACTATGTCCACTATTTTATGTCGATTATTTATACTATTTTCAGTACTATTAAATAACAGCATAAAGCCTATGTAAACAGCTGCCCAACCAAATTCATTCTAATTACACACTAAGAGAACATGCTCTGCATGCAAAAAAAACTCAGGTTTGATCACCCATGTCTAGGTAAGCCTTGAAAGCCTGAAACACTGGTGCTCCCAGTCTAATGCAACACAGCAGTGACACTGAGTAGTGACTCCTGAAGCTATTTGCATGTACTCAAGAAGTACTCCTCGTGAAAGCTACAATCGGGCAGGCATCATGGACCAGACCAGCCCTACCACGTGGGACACTGCCTTCTTTTCACTCCTTTGACACACGCTAGTTGATGCTTGCCACATAATATAGCTCGGAGGCATTGCAAAGGACGCCCGCTCCGACTTTAAGTAGCTATAGCCGCGAAGACAGGAAGGAGCCAGGCCTATTTCAGCAATTCCTAACCCACCCTCGTGGGTATTAAGAGCCCGTGTCCGTGGATCGCTGATCGAAAAAGCTCCCCCGCCCCCTTTCTATCAAGTTCACAGCGCCCACGCTTGCCTCTTCCACGCGTTGTTCCTCCTCCTTAGTGGTGAAGCCCAGTGGCAAAATATATGGCACGGCGCTCCCCTCCACCACTAAATAGGCCAACGAGACAGTTCACGTCTTTCCCCCTCATTGCAGCAGCAGGAGCAGCAGCAGCAGCAACGGCGGCCGTTTGCCACACTGGGTCACTCTGCCTGCTGCTTTCTTTCCTCTCTCAGCTTCCCCGTCTCTTGCTGCCCACCGGCACAGTCTACACTCAAGGACCAACGCCCCTCTCAGAGAAGACACCTAGCCACCCACCTCCCCCACGGGGAGTGGGATGAGGCCTTCTGGCAACCTCCCGCTTCCTAGTCCACCGCTGCGTGAGAAACGGTCGCTCCGAAGGGAGAAGGGAGAGGGCAGACCGAACCGCTGTCTTCTCGCTCGCCCAGCCGCTGCCACAGCAATTGGCGCGACACCCGTCGCCCGCACGCGGAGACCCCCCGAGGGAAGCGATTCCTGCCCTCAGCCGTTACGGTTAAGAGAAGCCCCGGAGAGTAGAAACGCCGGGCTCTAGATCCGTCACCTGCCTTCAACAGGGATGCCGGCGCTCCTTTGCTGAAGCAGGCGGTTAGTTACCTGTCAAGTCCGGTTGAAACCGAGGCTGTTCCTCTCGCTGCCCGTACGGAGCCGCGTCTCCTTCCGCCATCTTGTCCAGGTTTAAAATTAACTCCCCGTGACGTCAAAACGCCGCCGCGAGCCTTTTATCAACAGGCACAGCGCGGCCGCGACGCTCTTTGGGAACGGAGAGGGTCCTAGCGCCGTCTGCTTCGTCGCCGCCAACGACTAGTTTTTGAGCGCGATGGTGCAGACGTCTTCGCACTCCGAGTTTTTCCTGTTTAGCGGTTTGCTTCCCACAAATCAGCCACATGGGAAGTGTTATACTTATGGAAACCACTTCGAAGTCATGAACTTTCTCGGAGAAAAGGGGGGAGAGATGTAAACTAACAAATGAGCCAAGCGCTAAGAGGTCCCTTCGTATACCTTCCTTGAATTGAAGAAGGCTGTGTAAGTTTTGCACAGCGGGGCTTACTTCCACATAATTGTGGACACGGGGTAGGAATAGGCTGCAGTCATTCAGTTCTTCCTGATATTATCTGAGCAGGAAATGTTGCGGGAAAGCTGCTGGTAACGAAATATACTCCATTTCTAACCAGTGGTGAAATTCAAATTTTTTTACTACCGGTTCTGTGGGCGTGGCTTGGTGGGCGTGGCAGGGAAAGGATACTGCAAAATCCCCATTCCCTCCCCACTCCTGGCGGAAGGATATTGCAATATCTCCATTCCCACCCCACTCTGGGGCCAGCCAGAGGTGGTATTTCCCGGTTCTTCCAAACTACTCAAAATTTCCACTACTGGTTCTCCAGAACCTGCTGGATTTTTCACCTCTGATTTCTACCTTACAAGGGGCTCATCTAGACCAGGCGGACAACTGATCAAAAGATAAAAGTTCCAATTTCCAGTAGAAATTTAAATAAAACATATTTGTCCATTGCACCACAGGTGGGCGTGGGGCAGATTGGGAAGCTGTTCCTGTTCTTCCACCCCCCATTTGACTTCGCTCAGGAAATGGGGAAGGGAGGGCTGGAACAGAATTAATTTGCAGAAGGCAGGCAGGGACATAACAAAATGGGTTTGTTTCTTGGAAGAGTGTTCCATGACCAAGGCACTTTTCCTAGTAAAGATAGTGGCCATCATTTTCACTTTTGTCACTGTAGATGGTCAAGCGAACTTGTTTTCTCTCATAGAACCCATCTGGTTATCCTAGAATTTGAATGTTGCAGTTTTCCCAGTTTGAAAAGCTGTGGTCTAGACAGGCATTTTCATGTTTTCCTCTTGTCATCAAGTTGGAGGAAAAATATATTGATAGAGATTGTGATGCTCACACGGGATAACTTATTGAGCCTCAGAAATAGGACCAGGCATCTTGCTGTCTGATGAGGTTCATTGCATGATTGAGGGCAGCAGTTGTTTCCCAGACAGTATTTGGGAAACAGCAAACAGCAAGGAAAATACCAGTCCTTCCTTCCTTCCTTAACAGTAAGGAAAATACCAGTCACCAACTTGTTGTGGGCCAGTGTTGGGAAACACCAATTTAATAATTTAGTTAGAATTATGGGCATATCAAACTCTTGATCTAGAAGTTATGGAGGATCCAGACAGAGATCAATATTTTTCTGAGACGTAAGATTTTGTCAGGATCAGTCATTCAAAATCAGCATGAGATTTCCTTCTCGTATCAGTAGTACAGAGGTGTGTGTGAAACTTTGACAGGTGCAACTGCTCAAAGGCTTGCTACTTGTATATAGGCAGTCCTTGATTTACAGCTAGTTGCTTAATGTTCATTCAAATAGATCTATTGTAATGTTCATTACAATAGATCTCCCCAGAGCTATTTATGCCCCATTTTTAGAAATACTACAGCCCCCCCCCCATGGTCATGTGATCATATTTTGGGTACTTAGCAACTGGCTCACTTTTATGGCCATTTGCAGCATCCCACGGTCATATAACTATGATTTGTGACCTTTTTTGCCGGTTTCCAGTATTTATTCCTGGTTTCCACCAAAAAGTAGGGAAAGTAGATTCATTTAACTACCATCATATTTGCTTAATGACCATGGCATTCACTTAATAACCATGGTGTTCATTTAACAACCACTATAAAAATTGTCATAATCCATTCCCATGATGCCTCAATTCCGACTGCAATGACTTATGGTCATAATTCCAGATTCAATAATGGTCGTATATTAAGGACTACTTGTATGTGCATCAGTGTCACAAATACTAAAAAGGGGGAACTTTTAGCCTGGGTTAGATCTGTCATCTTTACCATTTTTTCTCCATCCCCCAGAGAGGTTTAGACTATACAGTACAACTTTCCTCATTTAATTCCTTCCAGATATCTTGGGCTCCACCTGCCACAATGTCTGTTCACTATGCTATCTGGGCTAAATGACAATGGTAGACCAAAACTTATAGTTAGCTTCAGTGCCTGTTTAGCTGGACTACAGCTGAAAGTTGACAGAATATGCTGCTGTTCACACTAGGAATTAACAAGAATAGAATTTGCTTCACTCCTGCCCACGCCAAAACTGTTGACATTAAAAATATCCATTGAAACTAGTAGAAATATTTCAGTTTCAAATAAAAAAGCATTCATTGGATTGCAGCTGCAAAGAACAAAACTTACCATTTTATTTTAACTCATATTATTTCAGATAACAGTAATAACAATAACAATAATAGGAAGCATTCTTGAGGACCATCAATGATATTTATTAAAAGATGAGAATATTTCCCTGTATTACCAAGAAACCTGAAGCTCAGCACTTGTCTATATGGCTGCCCTTTAGGGGATAATTTTTATTTCCTTTGATCCTGAAGTCTTGTCATCCGGACTGTGACATACAGATCCTTTTCAAATCTGTACCTTTTTTAACCTGGTGAATAGAGCCTGAAATCAAGTAAGAAATTCAGGAAAAGGTTTCTTTCTGCCCACCACAAACTATATGCTACTAAAACTTTCATGCCTGATTTTTTATTGAAACCTTCAATTGGAAGAAAGTGTACAGTTAGTCCTTGACTTACAACCACAATCGAGCCCAAAATTTCTGTCACTAAGTGAGAAGTTGTTAACTGAATTTTGCCCAGTTTTGCAACCTTTCTTGCCATAGTTGTTAAGTGAATCACTACATCTTAAATTACTAGCACGGTTGTTAAATTTGACTTCTCCATTGACTTTGCTTGTCAGCAGTTTAGAAAAGGTGATCGTATGATCCCAAGAAACTGTAATCATCATAAATATAAACCAGTTATCACGCCCCCGAATTTTGATCACTGGTGTGATAGTGCAATGCTTGTAAGTGTGAAAAATGGTCATAAGTCACATTTTTCAGTGCCGTTGTAACTTCAAATGTACACTAAACGAATAGTTGAAAGTCGAGGATTACCTGTACTATAGGGCAACAATTTTTGAATCAATATACTTTAAATGACTCCTGTGGGACTGAAATTTGGCAAAGTTGTGGCTGTTTCAGTGCTGCTGCACTCAGCCATGGTTACATCATAATCATTTCCAATGCTTCCTACCAGCTTCCTACAAAAAAATTCAATAGGGATGCTGGCAGGAAGTCAGAAGGTGTTCCCACTCCCACTGCCTATTTGCCTGCCTTTGGTCATTCTATTTGTCTGCTTAGTTAAAGAAATATAGTGTCTCTAAAACAATTACTGATCGGGTCACATTATTATTATTTTTATTATTTCCCTATCAAACTTTCCAAGACTAATATTTTTTTACAAGTGTTCAGGCCCTAAACTGAGACAAAGAATAATCCTTTCCCCAGGCATCAATTTTACCAATCTTCTTAAAAAGGTTTGTTGAAGCAAAAAGGAACCTTTTTTGTTTTTGTTTTCACTATTGCTTTATTTTTGTTTATTATTAAATAAATAAATAAAGAGGGGGGAAGTATAGAGCCAAGTCTTAGATATGTTTCTAAAGATTTGTCACATTTCAAACACCACACTAGTGGCTTTTAATTAATATAGCATGATTGTGGATTAAAATACAAATGGCATCATGACAACCTAGAGGTGACAGAGGGAAGTATCAGAATAATTCTGATTTTTGTTATATTAATTATCAAACACAAAGAAGGTCAATGGGTTCATTTTCAAATTTTAGATTACTCTGGAAAGGATTTAAACTTAGAGCTGACAGATCCTCAAGAACATAATCAAGAATTAGGAAAAGCCTGCTACACCAGCATCTAAAATCAAAATTATGAAGACTTTCTAGAATATTACAATAGGCAGTAAATTTGAAGATAAATACATTTACGGTAATCCATTGTTCTGATAGTTGAACCCCCAAAACTGTAACAGTATATGGGAATAACTTTGTGATGCAGGAGGAGGGTGAAGAGGTGTGGCCCAGGCTATTACAAAAATTAATTATGGAGTTTGCTATTTCTTAATCTAAACTTTCTGCATAAGAGTAGCATAAAGTCAAGCAATTCTATTATTGACCAATCTGGGTAAAAAGTCCTGCAATTCTCTGTCAGTAAAGCTAGCAGCTGAACATTTTTTTTTCAATTTTGAAAATTATTTGATGGTCCTCCATCCCTTGCTTTTTAAAGAATAAAGAAATAGGCAGAGTATTTTGAAAGATGACTGACTGCCCTCCCATTTTTCCACCGCTTATGTTTTCCCTCAAAGCTTCCATTTTGGTATATTCATTCATGGAAAAGGAAGATCTATAGAAATGTAAGGACAAGCCAAGAGAAAACTGAGTGTGTGTGCTAGACATATCACTGAGGCTAGATTTCATCACAATCTGTTTTTCCATGAAACACTCGAAATTTTAAGAATTGGATTCCCTTTCCTCTGCCCCATCTTCAGAACATTAACACAGTGCTTCAGTCCAACAAGTTTTCACCATCTTTTTTATATGAATGCATGGGCTTTCTTGATTTAGTAAGATTACTATTTATTAGCTCACAAAAGTTGTTTAATATTTTTCACCAGACAGTTAATAATTTGCTTTATTGCAACATTTTGAATTCCCTCCCAAACTGTAATGTGAGGAGGAACATGTAAATATACATTGGATTGCAACCTTTGTCCCTTTGTGTTGACCTTAAGCCTTCAGAGAGTTTAATTGGAGTTTATAAAAATGGATGGTGGGAAAGATA